TCATGTAGTTCAGCTTAATACAAATGATGCTGCAGCTAGTGTTTTATTCAATAAACACATGCTATTCAAATACTATTCTCGATGCTTTGCAAGTATTAACTTAGTTAATCCTTGGTAAAACCCTCTGAAGTAGGTACTGTTGTTTTCATCATCAACCCCATTTCGCAGATGAAGAAACTGAGGCACAGAAAGATGAAGTGACTTGCCTAAGGTCACACAGCTGACAAGTGGGAGAGGTGGGATTTGATCCCTGGGAGGGTTCACAGGGATGGGGATGTAAGCACGTGCCTCCCTCTCCCTTGTCCTCAGCCATTCATCCTCAGGCTCGCGCGCTGTGACGTAGAGGGTACATTCTTGGAAGTGGTCTTGCAGGTGAAGAAGGTGCATTTAGTTGCCTGAGGGACCAGGAGCTGGCCAGAGAGTGTCCTGTGCATCCCTGGCTGAGGGAACATGACCCCCACCCCCACCCCACCCCCAGCTCTTGCCAGTGAAGCGGCTGCAGCTGGTCAGGGCCCAAGAGCCGGAGCCCACACTGGACTCTTTGTCTTTGGTGGGAAGCCTGCGGCCCCCATGGCCCCTCTCAAGGGCCCACTGTCCCAGCACCAGCGGGGCCTCCCGGGGGCCAGGCCCGGCTGGGAAACTTGGCACATTGGAGGCCCCTTGGCCACCCTGCCAAGTGGACATGCAGAGCCCACTCAGGAATCATTCCCACTGACAAGACAGACTGGCGAGGCGGAGGGCCACGTCCAAGGCGGTGCGGCAGCCTGGATGGGGCCGGAGTCCTGGGTCCCAGCCCTGGTACTGTGCACACCCCCAGTGGCCCAGGCCCAGCGCCTGGTCCTCCCCTCCCCCCAGCTCTCTGGGCGCCACTGCTGCTGCCACTACGGAAGGACTTCCTGCCTCCTCAGGCCAGCCTCAGTGCTCCCAGAGCCTGCCCCTCGGGAGCCCTGCTGGACTGCCCTGTGGGGAGTGGGCTTCCCACACTGCCCTGAGGTGGTCCCTCCACCCAGAATCTGCGGCCCTGCCCAGAGCAGAAAGGGCCCAGCCCCGGCTCCAGAGCACCCTGCGAAAAGGGAGCCAGATCCTCCTCTGAGAACCAACCCAAGGGGTTAATTCTAGGGGCGAAGAAATCACGCTTGCCCTGCCCGGGCTCTCAACTCTGCAAGGGGCTCTCGAGGGCTCCTCTGCCCCTCAGAGTGTGTGGAGAGGAGAAGGGGTCCAGGGAGGAGGTAGAGGGGGGTAAGGGGGCAGACCCCCCAAGAGAGAAGTAATTGCTGTGAGCCAAGGTCTCAGTTTCTATGTGTCTGAAATGGGGAGACCGCTGTACTACCTCCCCCTGCCTGGGTGAGGCAAACTATGGAGCCCTGTCCCCAGACCTGTCATTTCCCAGGGGAAGATGGAGCTAACTGAGCCCTGGCCCAGGGCCCAGGCAGAACAGCTCCTGACAGCCTTCTGAAGAATCTCTGCCGCCCTATCCTTGTGCCCTTGGCCGTCCCTCCTCCCTTGTGCCCCCACTGCATCCGTTCCCTGCAGTCCCTTCAAACAGAAAACTCCATAGAAAACCTTGAGTCTCTGGGGGCCTCCCTGGGTGCAGGGGGTGGAGGGGATAATCCCTCCCTCTTTGGGGGGCAGAGGGGGCATTCTGGGAGGGGTGGGTGAGTTCTGGGGGCAGGGCCAGTGTCCCCCGTCTCCTGACACATCTTTACTTGGGGCAGTAGAGACAGCTTCCTGTGGGGTGGAACACTGGACTGTGAGCTCTGGGTGAGTTGGGTGCAGAGGAGGGGCTCAGAGTGTTTGTTGGGTGACTGTGTGACCAGCCTTAGGACTCAGAGGCCAGTTCCCCCTGGAAAGGTTGCTGAGTGAGGGAACATGGGCCTGATGAATTTTCCAGAAGAGAATGGGGTATCTCCATTCCTGCCCCTTTGCCCCTCCTCCTCACTGGGGGCAATGGGCGGCTCCTGGGAGAGGACGATGAGAGTGGGCAATAGAGGGCTGTTAGAGCCTCGGTTCTTTCCTTCACTCAGTCATTTGCCGGAAGAGCAGAGCTTCTGACGACAGTGGGGACTCTGGCAGCTGGCATGTATTGAGCATTTACTGTGTGCCAGGCCTGGGCCGAGCCCTTCAGGTGCGTTAACTCACTCGGTCACTGCAAGGGCCCTGGGCGTGTGTGTGAATTAGTCCCATTTTACAGATGAGAAATTCGAGGTGCAGTGAGGGCAGGGACTTGCCCACAGGGCAGACCATTTTGACCCTGGATTCCAAGTCCTTGACCCGGCCCGCTGTGAGCGCCCCCTTCGTGATGACGGGGGACAGACCCAGCGACAGAGCCCCATGGCTCTAGGGGGGATGGAAGAGGGTGTCGCCCCCAGAAGAGGCTCTGCAGCCCTTTACGCCCCTGCTCTGGGGTGGAGAGTCGGTCTCGTCCTACCCGGTCCCGCCGGC